TCGACCTTATCATTGTATGTTTAATGCTTGAGACTCTTATCCACTACTTTCATTCAGTGCCCTTAAACCGAGGATCCAACTACCTGAGCTTTTACATCTTCTCTTTTCCTTTAAGCTTATCTTGCTTTATCCAAATTTAGTACGACTACTCTCTGTTGTGCACTCATGTAAGTATTTGTACCTAATGAATTAGGTGCAGCGTATAAGATTATCTTTCACTTTTGCTTTTATTAACTTTATTCTCCATTTAGTCCCTTTATCGAGTTAGATTATTGGATTGACTAACCTGATAGGGAACTAAGGTATAACAGTTGATGGATTATTGGATCGTTGAAGAGAAGAATTTTATTGGTAGAGGGCCTGATATATGCTTCCTATGTACCAGTGGAGCTACTCATTAATCGGTTGAATTCTTATGGATACCCATTAATGTGTTGTATGTGAGTTGGCATATGCTTCCTAGATGGCTGGATCTCCATCAATATGAGATCTTCATGGATAAGGTTGACTTACCTGATAGGGACCTAAGGTACAACAATTGATGGATTATTGGATCGTCGAAGAGAAGAATTTTATTGGAAGAGGACCTGATATATGCTTCCGTTGTACCAGCGGAGCTACTCATTAATCGGTTGCATTCTTATGGATACTCATTAATGTGTTGTGTTTGAGTTGGCATATGCTTCATAGATGGCTGCATCTCCATCAATATGAGATCTTCATAGATAAGGTTGACTTACCTGATAGGGACCTAAGGTACAACAATTGATGGATTATTGGATCGTTGAAGAGAAGAATTTTATTGGAAGACGACCTGATATATGCTTCCTTTGTACCAGCGGAGCTACTAATTAATCGGTTGCATTCTTATATATTCTCACTGTCTAAAAGGACATTTAGAAAGGCTAGATGTTATGGTTCTGGGAGTTGTGGACTGACGGAAATGGAGACTATGCTGACTTGCGATATCATATTTGGAAACCTTTTTTGACCAAACAGCTTAAGCTGTTAAGGTTGTAGCCTTGTAGGTAAATAGTGTGACTTAAGACAATTGAACACTGTGCTCATAATTCCTCTTGCAGATTGAAATGTGGACATAAATGGAGGTGACAGTTGTTCTTTGCAAGATTCAAACCCACTGTATCTAGAAACTTGGTGCTTAAGCTATTAGGTTGTAGGTCAATAATGTGTACTAAGCCGATTGAAGCCAAACACCAACACTCCTTGGGTATTATTATTATGGATGGTGCCCATACAGAAGAACTCTCCATAGATATACACATGCATTTATCCATATATGTACTCAATTATATAATATATGTTCTAATTTAGAACACTCGTCATAACACTTCTTGGATGTTTATCCTACACTTAACATCTACTTCCTGAAACTCATTGGGCATGTGTCGGGTTCGTTTCAATCCATACCTCGTTCAGATCTATGATTAGATGTTTGGGTGCAGTTCAATTTATCATCTGCATAATAAAAGAAACAAAAAAAAGTTATAGGAATTTTTATTCTTGTAACATGTGAATGAAAAAATAATGAACTTGTGTAAATTATTAGTTTCATTATATGTATATAGCCGTGCTCCCATACACCACCTTTTACAAATTTCCATGTCCGATATCTGAACTGTAGTCATGCAACATAGGGGGAGACAAATGGAGGCGCAATAGTTTTTAGTGAGATTCAAACCTGAAATCCAAAAGCTTGGTAATCCTAAGAGTACACCGAAATTTAGAGAGAAATGGAAGTGGAGAACTATATACCTATGAGAAAAGGTAGGAAATGGAGCGAAGAATGAATTATTTCTTTCTTAATACGCTTCATTTTCGAAATGCACATCCTATGTATAGGAACATATCAACAAATAATGCGCTATTGGGATAGGTTTATGATATGATAGGATTGTAGGAAACAGGAGGGTAAGAAATGTTTTAATTAGACGATGCATTTGCTATATTCTTGACGCTTAAACATGCGTAGGTACCTGCTACCTCTATTGTTGTAGTATCTCCTCATTTCCTGGAGAATTTTGTTGTTTTATTAAAGAAATGGAATATCAGTTCTCAGTTTCTAATTTCTTATTGTCTGTAAAAGTAAAACTTTTGATCCTGGCCGTGCCTTGATTTATTTTGTGAAGAGCTTCGGAAGGAATGGATCATACGTAGGGTTTTATGATATTGGTAATCTTGTACATGACATTTCAGGTTTCATAGTTCTGATCCCTAAATTCCTTCTGTTTGATTGTGTTGCTCATGTCACTTCTAGATTGTAGCTGTCATGCCTTTTTATTCTGTATTTTATCTCTCTCTCAACACTTACCTTCTGGCCTTCTTTTTTTTTTTCTTTCTCCCCTCTGCCTTCATTATTTGTGCTGCATAAGGCTCTATGGACCCAAGAGAAGCTGTGCTGCTTGGAGCTGCCTAAAGTTTGTATGCAAGGGGTATTGTTGTGTCTAACAGAACTATGACCGATAGCTGTTTACAACAGGTTTTAGCTTTGCTTAGCTTCCCATGTAAAACAAGGTTAAATTTCAATTCTTATTTCGGAAATTAGGTCTAGACATGACTGCTGACAAAAGCGCGATGGCGCAGAGGCTTTATAAATATCAGAGAAATTGCAAAAATGCGGAGAAACTTCTACAATACAATGAGAATTTTGTAACACAAAATACTTGAGACGCTGTTGAACACTGTCCCGCTTGCAAAATATTGAACGGAATGGATATGTGCTGGCAAGCAGGAGATTGCAAATATATGTATAAACC